GCCCCGAAACGAGCCTAAGGCATCCAGACAAGCACAGGCATCCAGACTCATTGGTTGGGTGTCTCCAGGTGTCTCCCTATTAACGTTACACGGTTACACGCTAATAAATACATATAAATACATCCAAAAGTTAAATACCAGAAGCTTCCAAACACTGAGAAAAAGCAGCCTCATAGGTTCTTGAAGCTCATGGTAAATGCCATTTTCCCAGCAGTCTCCATACTCGGAAACCCCCCGATTCCCCGCTACCAGCTTCCGAGGCCCAGCAACGGGGTGCCGATCCCTGCAGTGCCAGCGCGGACACTCTTCGTGCCCGTCCGGGACGCCAGGGCGGGCAGACGGACTGGTCCATGCTGGTGGCAGACTTGGGGGCTTTGTAACAAGACAGATGAGGACCGCGACGATGACGATGGCGATGATGACGACGATGATGACGATGACGACGATGATGACGATGATGACGATGACGAGGATGACGAGGATGATGACGAGGATGATGACGAGGATGATGACGACGAGGACGAGGACGAGGACGATGATGATGATGATGAGGAGGAGGAGGAGGATGAGGAGGAGGAGGAGGATGAGGATGACGATGAGGATGATGATGATGATGATGATGATGATGATGGTGATGGTGATGACGACGACGTTCTCTAAAACACTACTGGGGTTCAGGGGCTGTAGGCATAAACAAGTAGTGTATATTATGTATAGCCAAGAGGAGGTTCTTTCCAAGAGAGATCACTGCGGTTCCTTCCAGTGACCAAGACTTTTTCGTCGTTCTTGTCTTGGATCAAGAGCACCTTTGGTTGTGGCTGGGCGTGACCTTGCCATGAGTGGAGGAGGAGGTGCACCGAGGGCGGGGAAGGGTGTGGGGGGGGAATTACACGCCTCCACTTTTGTCTTAGAGAGGCTTTCACTGGAAATGAGGTATATACATAGTAATAGTATGGGTTGACTGTTGACGATGCCAAGAACACGAATGATATATGTGGTGGGAAATCACTTCCGGCACAGGAGCTTCAAGTTTCATCACAGGGTGAGACAGGGTCGATCCATTAGATGTAGCTGTATTACACAATAGCATATATTGTACACAATATATACTCCTTCGATGTCGTGATGTTTTTAGTTGAGCAGCAACACCTTCAGAAGTCTCTGCCAATGTGAAGTCCAGCACATGTGTGAAGGTGGTACTGGTCCAGCCTTTTGTCATGAGGCTGCAGGTCGCTGTGGTCTCCTTCACATGTTCAGACCTCGGAGTATCTTTGGAGGGCCCAGTGACTGGAGCATCCTCGGGCGTCTTGACAGGGATCCGCCGTCACAGTCCAACAGGTTCGTCAGGGCAAAACTTCTGTTCCAGCAATGCGGGCTTCTCTGGCACGCCCTTGTGGATCCTTGGCGGGCAGAGGTCGACCAGCTGCCGAAACGCGGAGGCTGCACCCACGTGTTTAGGTTGCTGTGTTTAGATCGATGTTCGAAGAGGACAGAAAAAATCCGCGAAATCATCATGGAAGTGGAGTTCACCACCTGTTTGGTATTCGGATTTCATGGTCATCCAAAAAGGGGCCACCCACTTCCAGATTACAATTGCTCCAGGGAGTGTAGATGAAGCTCTTTGAAACAATTGGTTGGGGCTCCTCGATCCCCACCGTCGAGTCCTTCCCTTCGCACAATTTTCATGCGTGAAAAACATCACCTTCCTCCCGAGGAAGTTGAAGCAGCAGGGTCAACTGCCAAACCACTTCCAAGCGGCGGAGGAGGCAGTTATGGGACCAACTGGCAGAGACTGGGGCAACGGATGGATGGCAGCGTTTGGGGAACGATAAAGACTCTAAAGCAAAGATAGCTAAGCAAAGACTCTTGACCTTTTGTTGGGCTGGTGAGTTCTATCAATTATCCCTTCCACCAAATTACATCTACAAACGCCCCAAAAAACACGAACCACACCAAGTAAAAATTCGGGTGTCGTGTTTTTGCTTCCTTCTCCAGTATCATGCGCAGATGTTGAGAGGGCCGTTTCTCTTTATAACTGTTCCTTCAAAATCAAGATTAGCGGTAGGTTGGGAATATGTATGACGCTGTCAATGGCAATGCAGGAGAGATGATATCTGAAACAGGGGGTCCACAAAATAGAGGAATCCCCAAAGATGCGAATCTGGGAAGAGCTTCAAAAACGTGCGAATTCTCTCTTCGTCAGGCGAAGGCCCTACAGGCCCAGGAACAGAGGGTGCCTTGGCACACGATGGCCACGGAATGCATCAAGATCCACCCCCTGTGAGGCGTCAGTTCCACTTTCCGATGTTGTGACAACTTTCCTGGACAAAAGAGCGGTTCTTTCCACGAAATGGGGGGTCAAACTCGAAGAGACGAGTCCAGGATAACAGTCCAACGCCTTTGCACTTCCTTGTTGCAGTTTGTATGTTTATAGTCTGGAAATAAAGTAATATATAACAGTCCCGTGGGCCCAGCATGGGTGTGCCATAGAAGGCTCAACGGCAACATGCAAGGTGCCTGATTTCGGAGGCAGAACCACCCAAAACGAACTGGATTTCGTTCTTCGCGCAGCAGCGAAAGCGGGAGAGGAAAGACTCCAAATCGATTGATCACTCCAAATCGATTGATCTGCACAGATCTGCGTAAGCTGCTGCGTAGATGCTGCGTAGGCTCCAAGTGTTGGTGCTTCAGAGCCTCAGGAAGAGGAGGAAGCTGCCGCAACTCTCAGGGTCGTCGTCGATGCGGTGAGTCTGGGCAGGCGGGGGACCGGCTGAGGGCGCCCTGGATGGAGGGCGGGAATCTGCTACGTAGTCTCCCTGGAACTCATATAGAAGCGGAAAAACCACCTGTTTGTAGTGGATTTCATGGGAACTTCCAAGGGGCCATTCTCAAGGATTTCATGTTATAGTTTTAAAGAGTGTACTTACATGTTCTCAAGGAACCCTTCTGCATGATAGATGATAGTGAGAAGTTTGGACCATTTGGATTTCCCACAGGCTCCCACCAACAAGTTCTTTTGCAAGTCTTGTGGTTCACGCTCTCCTTTGAAAACCAGATGTGCAACTCTGCAAATCCTGCACTGTATGGAACAAACAAGGCGGGAGAAAACCCAAATGTCCACCCACCACCTGTTCGCAAAAAACGTCCAGTGCCTCAACCGTCCAGCGGTACACGTACCTCATACACCGACGCGGCCAGCTGACGATACGGTCCAGCGACGTAGTCCCACTCGATCGACCCGGATGGTCCTGGTGATCCATGCAGCGCATCTCATCCAGGGTGGAGTACAACTTGGTGAGGCATCTCATCGTGAAAGATTTGAGGCAACTGGCCTCAAGTCGGGTTCGGGCGCACCGCGGGCGCAAGCACCGCACCGCACCGCGGGCGCAAGCACCGCACCGCGCGCAAACGGTGGGAGTTTTGCGAAGCGCCAAGGCACAGATCGGGCGAAGATGTGCATGAATTACACCACCCGAAGGGTGTGGCTTTTAAACCTTTTACATAGACGGCCGTGTATGTGTGGACATCCAAACAGCATACTCCACGTCGTTGTGTGCTGCAGGATGTAGTAAGCTTGGGTCGAACCCATTTTCCAGGCGAACTTCATGATGTGTTGGACACCAACCGGGGCAATCGAGTCAACCGTCATTGAGTGGATTTGTGTGGAGCTTGGAGCTTGGCCATTTGGGCATTTCTCCCTATTTTAAAGGCACCATGTCTTCACCTGAATCGCTCCACGACCGAAAGACACCACGGGACTTGCCTCCACAGCCGCCACAGCCGCCACTCACCAGCTCCACCGGTTGGACCCGACGACACCGGGCACCGACGGCACCGAGGAAGGTGGCAGCCAGGTCCAAGATCTCCTTGCCCACGACCGGGCTTTTCGAGCGCTTGGGCTGACCGGTCGGTCCGGACCACCGCGGTCGGTCAACGGTGGGGGTTGGTTCGGTTTGGAGAGAATCCTCGGTGAAAGGAGGTGAGTCTGGTTTGCGCTGGTGCCCCAAAGCCACTTGAAGACACTTGTGACTACATTTGGTATTCCTCCCAAATGAATGGAGCCAATACCGAGACCCGTTCAGGAATTCCTCCACTTCGGGGTCGCTGTTACAAGCAGTAAGTGCTTCTTCTTGCCTTGCTAAACAGAGTGTGAAGCTTCATGATGCTTTCAGGAAGCACATCTTAGAAGGCGAAGATGGGACAGTGCAGATCATTGCACCCTCCAAAACCCTATGGTCGGTGGCCACTCCTGGCCGGTGGGGGCAGCACATGAGCCGGTGGTCGTGCCATGAGCCGCCGAGCCGTTCGCAGGTGGTTTGAAACTTCAGAACCTCCCAGTTTAGGCGGCGATGCATTCGTTTTTGGCTGGAAGGTGTGGGAATCTATTTGACTACAGGCTGGAACACACAAAGCGAATGTGTGGAATGTGTGGGAATCTATTCTATTTGACTACAGGTTCGATCTTGAAACTCATGACTCAGGAACAAAGCGCCCTTGCAGCTCTTTGCACTCTTCGATGGTCAGTCATCGGCTGAGGCAAAAGAGAGGGGCCTGGAAGTGCGTAGGTTGTGACTGAGATGAGATTGGTGCTGGCCACCTGTAGTCTTTGGAGCCCCAACCGATGGATGTTGGGATCTGTTTTCAGTTTCGTCTTTCAACAGGGAACCCCAAGCTTCAATCTTTTAGTACACACACGAATATATTTAGTTGCTAGCACGGCGGCGACGCAGTTCAGACGGAGGTTCTCGAGTTCATGGGCATTTCTTTTGGCCTCCTGCCAACCAGCAGTGCTTTCCCCCACGGCACGCCATTTGAGGATGGGTTGCCAATTGCACCATATTGCACCCTAATGCAGACTCTTGATTCAAGAGCCACCCCTAAAGAACACCCCTTTTGAATTGTGAAATCCTCTTCATACGGGCGGGTTATGCATCAAGACTCTACATTAACAACTCAAGACCTCACCCCGCCGGTGCGGTCGTTATCAGGGGCCGGGCCCCATGGCTGCGGAGTGCTGTGCCAAGACCTTGCTGCCCAAGTTGCTGCGGAATATGTCCGCCATCCCACAGGCAACGGAGAAACATGGAGGACATGAAGGACATGCGAACAAAAAGGGACCACATGCACATCCGGTTGCACTCCCTGAAGAATATGTGCTTCATGACCCCATGATGTTATTGATGCTTCCTGAAGTGTGGACTGTACTAGCGTACAATCAATTGAATATGGAATAATTGTTGCATCACGCATTGTGATCACGAATGGATACACATGGTTTTTGTTTGCTCTTGCTTCATCTCAGCATTGTGAAATATCCCATGCCTTACTGGTCGCGGAATAGCACTGGCACATAGGATCCGGGGCGCGTGGAAACGCTCAATGACCTCCCCACCGACATGGGGGAATCGAGAATGTATTGGCGATGGTTGCTGACATGAATCGCAGAGTTTGGGTGTCAAACGCACCACAAGTTGACCAACTTCAACCGTGTTCAGGCGTGTTTTCGTTTCTTTTTTTGTGGGGGGGGCTAGCCGGAAAAAACCCAAGATCTTGAACGGATCATGACATCTCCCGTAGAAGCTGATCAAATCCTGCACCACTCACTACCAGCGGGATGCCTTTCCTTCGCGTGCACCACTCACTGCGCAGGGCTATGAGAATGCCACCTTCGTGAAGGTGCACCGGCTGCTCCACATCGAATTCCATTGGCCAGCGGGGTCCGTATTTTTCGTGCCCAGAAATTCCGAGCATCGAAAACACACTCGCCCGAAAGCACACTGTGTACATCCCAAGAGGCTTTTGGAACAGGATGTGTCACTTCCAGGCGCTTCCAGGGGCTACGTGCCACGTTTGGGGACTGAATTGTACTCCTTAGATGATCTTGAGAATGTTCTTTTTCAGGCCTGCACAGAACGGACAACATCAGACAACCCTGTTTGAAGGGTCAGTATGCCCCTGAGCGGCAGGAACTGTTTACAACCAAACTCTGGGCGTGTAGACTAGGTTTAAAGTCCTCAGCATCATCGTGTCATTTGACAGTTTTCAGGCTGTTCACCCACCATGGGCTGCAGGTCCAGTCTTCTTGGCATATACAAGAGCCCATGTACCGGGTTTCATTCCGCATTCATCGTGCCCCGGAATTGTCGCACTCAAACCTCGTGACTACTCGTGACCACATCTTTTGCGGGCTTCGCAATCCGTTCCGCGGGGTACAGGGGTTCAGGGAAAAGGGAGCCCTTCCAGATGCCCGGACTCCTGCTCGACAAGTCACCACTTGTCACCCAGCGGCGACATGGCCTGCTTCACAAGGCCTGCTTAAAGAAGGCCTTTGAAGATTTGGATAAGGAGGTGTTGCGAAATCAGCTGCTTGGACATGTGAGGGCTTCACAGGTCAATTCCAAATGACCCAAGATGAGGCAGTATACCTGCGATCGGTCACATCGCGCGGCCAGGCGGAGGAACCAGGATGTGACCACCAGCTTTGGGATCCATGAGCGAAGACCTTGACACCTCAGTAAATTATATACTATATTTATCATAGTACATATCTACATCGAACATAATTTATGATATAATATGCATGGATATAATATGGTATCTAATTGCAGAATGGGTGGGATTGGAACTACCTAGGGGCCATTGTTTGCGAAAAACCTGGGTTCATGTTTTAGAACTAGCCACTAGGTCACTAGGTTGGTACTTGTAAGACAGATGTGGAGACTTCTATGAGAAGTGGCTCAAGACGACTCCGGCTAAAGACGACCGCAACGCATATAAGGATGACCCTGATGTGTTCGATGTCGATTGACCTTACCATGACGAGTTGCCTCTTGCAAACAGAAGTCTTTTAGTCTGTAACAGAGAAATTATCCAATATTAAGTAAATATAAGGAAAAAGACAACACACCTATACAATTCTATACCGATCCACTCCAAAAATACAAAAAAAGAACGACGTGGTATTGGTTTGTTTCTCTTTCCGTTGTTTCTTCACCCTCCATCGGACTGAATTTCTTCCAAGGCCCTCGATCCAGGATGGCTGTGGGGGCGCTGTGGCACTGCTGGTGGGGGAGAAGCTCTTCACCGCGGTTTGTGGCAAGTGCGAGCTGGCGGGGGTGCCAAAAAGGATCCTTTTTGGGGGGCTTCTCCAATCTGGAAGAACGCGCCATGTCACCAATATATCAATTACAGTCTATGTTATTTTCTTATAATGACCATGATAATGGGTGATAATAGTAAAAATACGAAAAAATACGAAGAATACAGTAAGTACAATATAATAATGCCAATAATCTATGGTACTAGGCTAATCTCTTATCCTCATGATCATTTTGAGGTCCGCTCATACGGGGCATACGGAGCATCGTGAAATGGTCAAATCTGGAGTCAACAGTAACAGTCCAGTCCCAGTGACACTAGAGTAGACGGCATGACTCTCCAGAAATCATTTGGGACTGCTACGTCCTCCACAGTGGTCACACTTGGGGTTCTTCCGTCAAGAAGTTCCTTTCTTCACCCTCAACACGGTTTGTGGTCTCTCACCGGGATCATATTCGTGGGTTCTGTGCTACTTGCTGCCTGCAAGCCCTCGTCTTGCCCTCATCCTAGCGAGCAGATGGTGGAGTATCTCCTTCACCTTCTGCACCTTCGACCCTGCTTCGACCCCGATTCAAGCCACACGTTTGGCATACAGCATACAGGTGACTTCAAGTGGCCTATGGAGCGTTTGTCTCATGGATTTGTTTAAAGGCTTGCCATCTAATCCTTTGGTCCTGGATCCGTCGAACCTTCTCCCTTCTTCCACGAGCTTCAACGACTCGTGTCTTGCGTCGACGGTGACGCTGCGTCGACGTTGCTCGCCGCTCACCACGACCAGGTCTTGATCGAAGCTGGCCAGCGAAGGGGGGTGAAGCAGGATCCCTGCAAGGCGGGGGCCCGTGACGGAACGGGCGTCCGACCGCAGACCGTGCTGCTTCGGCGAGAAGCGAGAACCGAGAAACAGACTTCATTGATTGTTCAGGTGGTGCGAGCTGCTCATCGCAGTTGTTGCGATTCAACAGTTCTTAAGCCATGCAATTAGTTTGTGAGTTGATCTCGCTGGAGTGGCAGCGCCAGCATGATGAATGCCACTGAATATGTCTATTCTGTAATTATATTGGTCATGTTGTTTGAATTGATTCATGTTCGCTTCAATTCCCAACGGTGCAGCACCTTGTCCTTTTCTCGGCTTTGGGTCAAACCAATCCCACTCCCACAAAAGAACCTCAAACATCACTCAAAGTCCTTCAGCAATTTCATGGCAATCTCTGCTTTGTTGGGTGTTCCTTGGAAATACTCTCCCTGAACGTCTCCATGGTGACGTGGAGTTCACCACCTGTTACGTTACGTGGATTTCATGGTCTTCCTAAAAGGGGCCATGGCATAGTTCCAGGGAGTGTAAGACCTTTCAGATCATGAACCGCTTTTCCATGTTCACTCCAAGTGGCCCAAGGTTACAGAAGGCTCTGTGGGTTTCGGGAGAGGCATGCGTGGCCATTCCTTGGTACTTGGGGGCGATTCCCGAGTCGTTGGACTGGTAAGGGGGGGTCCGCTCCTGGCCGCAACCCTAAACCCATATCCTTCAGGTTCGGTGGTATTCGACCCCCCCCTGGCACCCACCCCGTTCATACAATTCTTCACCGCGGGTGGTGCGTTTGTCTCGGTGGGTGGTGCTCTTCGCCGCGCCGCACAGCGAAGCCCAAAACGCCTCCCTTTCGCCAGGCTGTGAGCATGGGCAGTCATCAGGGAAGTTGGAGCATTCCCGAAGACCAGAACCTTGGAGATGGGGTGTGCCTTCAAGTAATATGATTCCAGGATATTCCAGGTATATATCGATGGTAATTATAGGGTATCCAAGGCTCCCTCGACTCCCTCCATCCTTGCAGCGGTCTCAATGGCCCTGGCTGGATGACATGGTGGGTCAGCTACCACCAACGACCGACACCAGGTAGGTCAGGTAGGTCGCGCCTGGTCGGTCTCCATGTTCGATCGGTCCCAGACGGATGTTCGGAACGATTCAATCTCTTTTGGTGCCAAGGTGTGCCAAGGAACCCTAAACCCAAAGCGGGCTGCTATGTTTTACTATGTTTTTACTAGTAGTAGCTCCTGGCATCACTACTAGTAACAAATAGCTACTATAGTGAGAAGGCACCATACTACTAGCAACAAAGCTATAGTTGGCACATCTTGGGCAATCTTGGGCAAGGGAGCAGCCGAGAAGAGCAGCAAACTGCAGCTCTGGATGGTTGACATGTCCACGAGTCCGGGACCAACCCCTTCGAGAACAACCCCTTCGACCGGAGAGTCGATCGGCTCGGATCGACTGATCGTGTTAGACCCATTGGAGTCGACACCAGGTAGCATCCAAAGCTGCATGTCTTTTGGGCCACGCACGCCGGAAACCCGCGCCTGGCTCCACAGTTGCTGCGGCCTGCCAGCGAGTGCAGCATCTCGCAGCATCTCCCATGGCGCTTTGGGTTGCTTGGCTCCTCTACCTGTCTTTGGGAGAGGCTGTGGAGAACTGCGTCCTCGAGCAGGCATACTGGAGGGGATCGGGTGGATGAAGGCATTGAGAATCGCTCGCCTCCAAATCCAAATCCAATGCCAAAAGCTGCCCGCATAGACTTTCCGCCCGAAGGAAGGCACCGTAGGACCACATGCACTGCAGCGGCATAAGTTGGAACAATATGAAAGTAACATTCAAATCCTCAACAATCCTTAACAAACAGTCCTCACCAATCCGTAACAACAATCCTCACCAATCCGTAACAACAATCCTCAACAATCCGTAACAACAATCCTCAACAATCCTCAACAACAAACTGTAACAAACATCATTAACGTTGCAATCATCATTCTTGCAACGATCCCCCACCTGGCGCCTGGCGCCACACCTGGCGCTCTCACCGATGGAAGGATGAGACCTCGGAGCTGCAGATCGGCATGAAGCCCAGCAGCCTTGGTCGCGAGGCGCTCGACCGGGACAGTCGAGGTGAACGGTGAGGCCGTATTGGGACCCGTTGAAAAGCTGAGCCCTAGGAATCCAAAGGCTATAATATATATAGGCTATATATATATTTTTTAATGCTTTTACATATTTTGATATATTTGGTATATGTTTTAGTCATACATTAATAGCTTTTTGGCTCCCCACAGGCAGTTCTTGTTAGGGTTGCCTGAAGACATTTTTGTTAAATAGTCTTGGACTTCAAGCGCATTGCTGCAGATGGTCAGCAAAAGTGACGGTTGGTGGTTTTGAAGGTGTTCACGAGTTGAGTAACACCCCGTCGTGGCAGTTAGTTGGTGATTCATAGTACAGCAAAAGGCTGAGATTCACTAGTGAATCCCCTCTCACTAATTGGTTGAAAATGGTTCAAACTTGTGAACATCAAACATCATCAAACAACTATGATGTCATTTATAGCCATTGTTTGACGTGGGTCCCATCTCCTTCCCCACCATCTCCTTCCCCCCCCCAGATCCCAGATCCCCTCGCTTGAATGCTGACCTGCACCTCGCGTGGCACCTCGCGTTGCCTCCGCCGCGCCGCCTGGGTTCGGTTCGCCGGGCAGGTCCGAGAACCTCCGAGGTGGGACGCGACGGACGTGGGGCGTGGGGGACGGTGGGGGACCCGGTGGGTGAACTCCGGGACCCGGTGTGAACGGAGCTGAATTCACCGGGGAGATGGTTGACCCACCGAAGTGGACTTGGCAGGGGCCCACCAGGTGGTAGAAAGAGACGCAGGTGGTGCACCCCAGAGAAAGCGAGAGGGAGAGGGAAGGACACCACGACCGCAGCACCTGTGGTCTCGGAGTTAGCGTTTGACGTCACAACCCAGGTCACCTGCAGGTCGAGGGGATTCTTCCGCACATGGGTTTTGTTGCTTGCCATCAGAAACTGGACGCACCGCGTTAGATTCGATCCACCGTCCCTGGCATACGAGTTCTCGCGGCTTCAGCGCCTCTCTGGAGGCGTTGAACTGAAGAAACCCATGGCCAACAGAGGTTGAAGGACCCGAACTAGACTATCCCAAGTTGGGTACCCCAGGACGGGTCCCAAATTAATACGCTTACGTTCCACCTCTGTGTCTTACTGGGCCGGTTGTTGAACCATCTTCGCCTTCACCGGTCGTCCGTCCGGTTTTGGGGACGTGGTGTCCTGGTTTGACGGTCTCCGTGCACGACCTGGGATTCCGGTGCCAAAAGCGAGGACAAATCCTAATGTAGACTCTTGATGGATAAACCCTCCATATGAAGAGGTGTTGCAACTCAAATGGGGTGGTTTATTAATCAAGAGTCGATCTACATTAGTGGGAAAAAGGCCGTGGGGGCAAGGTCTCAATCTGCTCGGAGTTTGTGCGGCCTGTGTGGCTTTTTAGGGGGCCGAAGGAGGGGAAAGAGGGGTTTTGTGATGGATGATGTGTATTCTTCTTGTCAGGAGTGTGGAAGAAAGCTCACGAGGTAGTTTGAGCAACCTGCAGGCCACTGAGGATGACAAGCCAGCAGATCCTTATCAAAGATGGAGGGAATACCAGAGAGAGCATTTCCCGTCCGAGGCTAGTGCAGAAGCTCAAGAGGAATTGGATGCAGGGGTAGATGAGGATGAAGACACAGCGGATGAGGAAAAGGATCTTGAGAGCTTGCAGGAGACTGAGCAGAGAATGCCCCAGGCCAGCGATCCAGAGAATGTTCGCTTTGTTGATCGTAGCATCCATCGGCAGATCGAGGACGGCGCTTTGAAGAGGCGGGCAAGTGAGAATCACATGATGGAGAAGGGAGAGTCTCGAAGGCAGTTTGTCCAGAAGCAGCTGCCTGGCAGGGAAGCGGGCTCAGGGCCACAGTTGCCCACAAGGCGCCATGCCAAGGTGGAGAATGGATATGAGTCTCAAAATCCAAGCTTCCAAGCTAAGTACCGACCTAAGAAGGAGCTTGAAGATGAGCACCAGGACCAGTTTGAGGAATATGACGAGGAACCGCAGAGCAATGCCATCAATGCGGGATGGAAGGAATACCAAAAAAGCCTGTATGACGGCTCCAACGCGGAGCGTGATCCCACTCTTGCCGCTCAGCCAGAGCATCTCATGTGGAAGGCCTATGCTGAAGCAGTCCCGCAATCTGTGACAAGCTGCCCTGGATTGCCGAAGGCTATTTACTGTACACGTGTTTTGTTGATTAATTGGCTACCTTCCAGGCCACGTTTGGTTAAGACCCTGGTGGTTTGTTGGCATTAGCCCTCGGGGTGCCTTGCTAAAGGAGATATGTTGTTGTGAGTTTCCTTATTCATGCCCATCTGCAAATCCAAGGCTACCTCGACCAGGAAACTGTCAAAGCAAGGCGGCGCCGCCACACAAGCAACCGGCGGCGGCGATCTGTGCTGGCCAAAGACTTGGCCCTGTCAGGGTCAAACATTCGAGAGGAGAGCCCAGATAGATTTGATCCTCAGGCTCGCAGGCACCCGAACCTTTTCGCACAGGGGCCACCATCACGTTCAAGAGCTGAGACAAGGATTGAGGCAGATGAAGAAGACGAGGAGGACAACGATGACCAGGCTT